TGATTTTAATCTCACGTGATATATCCCGTTGGAAATAGTGAAAAGTCATTACATTTCCGGTTGTACCGCAATTGAAATGCACTTCTCATATGAATTGAAAATGAGGGACAAAATTTTCTATTCCACCGTAATGCAATTCGTAACTTGACCCACTACTGGAGTATTCGTGTCGACACTCTTCAAGATGGCGTCGGTTCTGAGGTAGCTATAGTACACCACTCAGCTATAGAATTTCTGCTCTTGCCCCCCTCACAATGCCTCGAGTGAGCTTTTTGTTCGTAAGAATAAAGAACTTTTCATCTCTGTCTTGCTCGAGCCCCTCTTGTTCGTTCGCTTCTTATGTACCTCGACCCCTTTGACTACCGGCAGCCTTCGATTTTTAGTTCAACCACTCCCTGATAAAATTACACTTTCGAGTTGAAAAAAAAAAATTGACAAATTTAAGATGAAAAACAAACAATAGGAGAATGACTGGTAATAACAGGGCTTTAACCTGAAATGATATCGATAAAACTAATTTGCGGGGAATTGTTTTGTTTGTTACGAGTGATTGAAAAAATATTACATGAACGGCTTACGTATTGTGGGTCAAAATGAGAGGTCAAAATTGAAGGTCTCAAATGTTGTGTGGGTCAAAATGAGAGGTCAAAGTTAAAGATCTTAAATGTTGTGGGTCAAAATGAGAGGTTAAAATTGAAGGTCTCAAATATTGTGGGTCAAAATGAGAGGTCAAAGTTAAAGATCTCAAATGTTGTGGGTCAAAATGAGAGGTCAAAATTGAAGGTCTCAAATGGTGTCAAAAAAGAAAAAAATCGAAGATAAAAAACGTGAGACAAAAGAATTGCCAATGAAAATCGAGTGTTTTGATAACAAAAAAATGTTATCAACAAAATTTCGTATTAATTATTAACAATAGAATCAAAATGGTGTTGATAAAAACGGAATTTTTCTATCAGTGCAGTTTCAGGAGCGGAAAGGAACGGAATTTCATAAGTGCAGAAATTTGTCCGAATTACAAGTACTTTTTTAGTGAATCCTCCATAACAAATGAAGACATTACTCTTGGCTATGATTAATGAATGAACATACAACTCAAGAATAAAAATAAATAAGTCTCCTAACAAAAGTGATGCGCTCTGTCTTTCATCCGCCAGTCGGAAGTTGACACCCCATTCACTCCACAAACATCGGAATCTCTTCATTCATTGTTGAAATCCCAACTTCCCCTTTCAGCTTTTATTCACTCATTCATCAGTACGTTATGCCCTCATACGTTCATTCGAAGCTTTAATTGTGGAGTATCTATCAATTATCATTATAACAATTACAGTCATCCTCTTATCGGAGAGAATTCGACACTGAAATACAACAATGGAGTGAAATTGAAGGACGAATTGATCGTAAAAAATGAAAAATTATTCCAGTAAAAGGGTTTTGGCACTTTCGACGTCGTCTGAGTGCTGGAACTTTCCACATTTCCGGTTTTCCATTTACTATCGCCTTCAAGGCAGGATCGATTTCCATTCAACGAGAATTCCAACGTCAATACACTCGGTGGTTCTTTTTCGCACTTTGATGTTACTAGGGAGATATACAGTCGCCATTTTTAGCTATCGTGAGGTTGATTTTTTTTTTATGGTTTCACGTACTGAGAAGTGCAATTGAGAATCTCTCGAGAAATTCTATTTACTGATTACAATTCCAGAGAATTTATTTTTGTTTATTACAACGACTAACATAAAAATTTGTTATACTAATAAACTATTCAGGACCTTATAAACAAAAAATTGAAGATAAAAAAATGGAGCTAAATTATAAAGAGTGATTGAGCTGTTTTTATTTCTAAAAAATGTCTCACCATTTTCACCAGAAATATTGGATAGAAAATATAAATTGGTGGGCATGAAAAAAAGTAAAAATACACTTCAAAGTGAAAACTATAATAAATTCCATCACCCCGAGAAAATGAAGGTGTCTTTTTTCCTATCTGTCGAATGTAATTGAAAAGTCCCTGGGGTTTCACCCACAGGTGACAACGAAACCCGTGTCTCGTACCTTTCATGACAAATAAGTGACGGAGAAGTGGTTGGATATACCCTTGCCCTTGAAGCTCACGAGAATGCCTGGTTGAGGGGTCTAGGATCGCAGACGGCTCCAGAGAGCATGAGTAGACTGTAACCAACTCTTCCCCCATTTTTTTTTTTCATCCACGTGAAGTGCGTGCGATGAGTGGGTGAAGCTTTCGGAGACGGAAAAATAGCGAAAGGGTTCATTTCCCGCGGGGGCATCGACCGACATGTCACAAAAAATTCAAATTTTCCTGGGTAAGTACATTATACCGACCCCCACCCCTTCCTCCTCTTTGTTTTTCCACCCCCACCACCACCACCCAAAATCTATCTTTCGAATTTTCAAAATCAAGCTATAGATTTAAATTTTTATTTTTTTTAATAGTTTGATATTGTGTGAAAAAATTTTGATGATTAGGATACCGAATGTGTCATCGATTTTTGACCCTCAGTCTTATAACCTTCAATTTCCCTCACTTTTGACCTACAATTTGACCCTCAATTTTGAGGCTTATTTATTGATTCTTTAACGCTCACCTTTGACGCAGAATTATTGAGTGTCAAATTTTCAATTTTCAATTTTTCTCTCATTATTGACCTTCAATTTTGACCCACAATTGTTGGGTGGCACATTTTTTACTTTTAATTTTCTCTCATTTTTTAGTTTCAATTTTGACCCACGATTGGTAAAACTAAAATTTTTTACTTTCAATTTTTCTCTCAGTTTTGACATTTAATTTTGACCCACGATTATTGAATGCAAAATTTTTAACTTCCATTTTTCTTTTATTTTTCACCCACAATTTTAGCCCTCAATTGTAACCTTCGAAATTTTTAATTTTTTACCCACAATATTAGACCTTTAATTTTGAAATTGTATAGCTTCGAAATTTTTAATTTTTGACCCACAATATTTGACCTTCAACTTTGACCTACAATATTTAAACCCTTGAATTCACTGTGAAAAATTGATTGAACAGATAATATGAATGCTTCCCATTCGCCTCCATCAAATTCTACTTCACTTTTTGTAATGTTGTTTCAACCCCTCGTAACAAAATTTTTACGATAGCTCAAATGGCAACATCGAGTCATCTCAAGTATTGCTACAAATATTTGAAAGTCACCATTACCCGTCGAATTTATCACGATGACATACGGTTTTTAGACCGTTGAAAAGGGAGAATCAATTCGATATCGAATAGACTGCGCGTCCCCAGCTGAAATTCTCGACAAATCAAAAAATGTACATCGTCTCCAACTTTTCCACATGATTTATGAGCAAGCACCCATACATACGATCTGACATATAGATGTACGAAAATTCGAAACATCAGGATTGAGTTCGACGATGTCTCGCATGGAAAGAGTCAACGCACAGAGGGGAACGAAAGTTTTCACCAGAGAAATAGAAAACACTGAGAGAAAAAAAATGTCTAAAATATTTTCCGCTCACCGATTATAAAGGATTTGACAACACGACGCGATTGTTGAAACAATTTCACTCAATTTACCACTTCAATTATGAAAAAACACATAACAAACTTTAAATTGCAGGGCTAGTAGTTGTTTTTGATAGTTGAAAACTACGAGAGGGTATATTAAACTGTGGTTATTCGATTCCTCCTACTCTAACGCGAAATTTGAGACTAGACTCAAAACTCCCATTGCGTTAATAATTATCAACGATTTTGATGATGCCGAGCGGAAATGGGAATATCGCTCATAAAATCGGCCATGTTGTTACTTCAAATCTTTTTACTTTTGGAATATTTTATGTTTATATTATATTTTTATTTTTTAAGTATAACTTTTTACCCTCCATTTTGACCCACAACTTTTAATCCTTCGAACCTTTCACTTTTGACCCATAACTTTTGATCCTTCAAAGTTTTTACTTTTGACCTTCAATTTTGACCCATAATTTTTGATCCTTCAAAGCTTTCACTTTTGACCTTCAATTTTGACCCATAACTTTTGATCCTTCAAAGCTTTTACTTTTGACCTTCAATTTTGACCCATAACTTTTGATCCTTCAAAGCTTTCACTTTTGACCTTCAATTTTGACCCATAACTTTTGAACCTGTTGACCCTTTAAACCCCACAATAAATTACTCATCTCAGTTTTAACTGATCTTGTTAATTCAAATGAAAATTGATTATCTGCATTTGGAAAATAATTAGAGAAATCTCAAAACCACGTTTTTACCCTCAAGTTGAAACACAAAATGGAAAATTACCATTTTCCTGTAGGTGAACAGGCGCTCCCTCGACTGCTCGGAATAAATAAAAAGGAAAGACGAATGAAATAGTGAATGTCGAAAACGATGCTATTGACATCTCTCCCCGGGATAAACTTCTGATTTATTCGAACGACGTCCCACTACCCGTGTTTATACAACCCATGACGCACCGTCTTCGACGGCAAATCGTTCATGGCGGAAAAAATAGCACGGAAAATTGACTGGTGAATTCGTCGAATGTGCCCGGAAAATCTCAAAATATTTCATCGAGTCATTAATTTTCCGATTTCACAACCAGCAATTTATCATTAAACGCATCGAATAAATCCGAATTAAATGCCAAATGAAAACATTTCAATTTGTTAAATAAATAAATAAATAAATGATCACTCCCGTAAAAGCGAAATCTAATTAAAAAAGAACAAACCAACAATTCATTCTATTTACTTTTCACCTCACAATTACATATAACAAAGTAGCTAGAAAATACAAAACTCATATGATTAAATAAATAAACCTTTTTGTAAAAATTGATATAAAAAATACTGTAATAAATTATGAAATATCCTGATCGAATTTTCTTTGCAACTAGGGATTTTCGAACGGAAGCTCGACGAAATGCCGGATAGATGTCAAAATAAATAGAATTTTTTTCCCGATTCAATTTTTTTTTCAATTTAAAACTCACCCTTGAGATGTTCTGGTGTGTCAGCCGCTCCTGCCCGCATTATGTCACTCAAATAATGTTCCAGAGTTCGCATATTATCCAGTGATGAATTACCGTTCGCAGTCATTCTTTCCTAAAATCAAATTTCCCTATAATTAATATTGCGATAAATCTCCAATTAATTGCGTTCTACCATTTATTAATTGCTTAATTGTTACTGATTTATTTCTCTTTCAAGTTCCATTCCTTTCCCTGTCATTCCAATAAACAAACGATGATTTATTTTTTAAAATGGTATTTCTCAATATTTCGTTTGTTGCTGGAGAGATTTATTAATTTTTTTATTATATATTTTCTTTTATTTCGAAATATGGATGGAAATGTAAAGGAAGCCTCTGCGTACTTGCGGTAAAAGTACTTTTTCTTCTGATCAATAGTCATTTTTATTCCGCGCATTGAAGGGTTTTTATGAAACAACGACAGCGGTATGTGGGGTTCTTTCATCTTTTGATTATGTACCAGAGTCTTCCGGTGGAAAGACTTTTATTTTAGGATCAGTGAGCGGAGGAAACGAGTCACCAGAGAAAAAACAATGTCCGGATAATACACAGGACTTCGTCTGCAATAAGAAAACGAACCACTGATGCAAATTTTTCTTCAAGATCGCATCCCAGATCTCTATAGCCAAAAAAAAATCCAGAATTATGAGCCATCAAGTGGAAATTCACACAAGGAGAGAGAGAACTCCAATGAAATTCACCAGCAAGAAAATATATTATCTCTCTCCATGCAATAATTTATAACAATTTACGATAATGATGTAATTGATCGATACGGGTGCTTCTCTATTCAGTAACAAATAATTGAACAAATAATAAACTTCTGATTATTATTGACATACCTTTAATGAACTCGCCATATTTTTTTTTTGTTCACCCTCATTTATTTTCTTTTCAGGACGAAAAGAAAAAAAAATGGAGTCGATGGGAAAAATATGGAATGGTTGTGGCAGCGCTGCGTGAAAATAGGGGAAGATAACCCCGAAAAGTGATCACGACCCCTCGACACCACTTTCCAAAAAGGATAGCTCCCCCAATCGAGTTTTCCACCCTTCTCATTCCCCTCAATAATTCCTCGGAAAAATCGGCTGCACAATATTTTCCTTTTTTTCCCCTCGTGCATTTTGGGTTCAATGACCTATTTGATAACAGCCGTCCAAGGATGGAATGAAATACTGATGGTGGAGTATCTCTGTACCGACATTGATCAATTGAAAAGAATGGTTGCACTAACGAGACGTAAGGTGCGGTGGAGAAAATAATTTCAGGTGGACACGTACAAATTTACTTCGGGATATTCCCATTCCCGACACGTCTGGAGAGTCTGCCAGCATCTCCACTTTATTAAGAAGCGTAATTCCCTTTTGTTATGTCCTGGGGTAATTGTTTGGTACAAATTATTTTTACGAAACTCAAGCAGACTATTTGAGTACGAAGAGAAAATTTCAGCGATTTTTCCAGTGGAAAATCTAGGAAAATTCAGTAATTGCATTCATTACTTAAAATTGCTTTCCCATAATTACCGGGCGGCAAATTGTCATCTTCAAAAAGTTCTTTGTGGCTTTTGCATTAATTATCAACCGCAGAGAGCCCAAGGAAGACCTTTTTATGATAATAAATAAATTATATATAAATTATTCTCTATTAACAATAATTAATAATTAGTTCTATAAATAAATTATTCTCTATTAGATTTTCCATCTGAATTCTACTCTTCCTTAGAAATTAAAGAATCGTTTTAAAAAAATTATCAGATTTTCAATTTCCACCAAAAAAGCAATAAATACCACGAATTAATTTATTTTTCCTTGAAATTAGTTTTTGAATATCGATCACAATTCCCCTACTATTTTCTCCAACTTCCCAATGCAAATATAAAATATTTAAAAACATCTTCAAAAATAAAATTCTCTATAAATAATCCAGTGTACAACCTCAACCCGACATTTCATTACCCTAAAAAAAAAACAGTCCAAAACAAAAACTCTGACCGAGCAATTAATTAGAATTACACTCGCACCACCGACCTACTTCCCAACAAAATATTCCTCCGATATTCCCTCCCGCCACCCCAAAACCCCAGAAAAAAAAAAACTAGGAGATCGGAGGAGCGTATTAAAACCAGCGGGAGGGGGGTAGGGGTGGATTGACCCCACTTATTTGGTCACTGGGTTGAAAAGTAAAGGATTCGAAAAAATAAAAAAAAAAATAAATAAAATGAGCATTTATCGAATCCTGGACAGTCGAATTCGTGGGTGAACTCCTAAAATCCCCATACGCCTCCCCCGAGGGTTGCCCACCCCTGACATGAGACTGCGTCTCACTTCCACAACCTGTCGACCTGTATAATTTCCACTACCACTTGTACGTTTCTTGCGCCAGCGCAACATTTCCCTCTACTACGGGAAGAAATTGTGTGAAGAGTGGGGAGTCAGAGTGAAATAAAGATGGAGATCCAGGAGTAGAACGGGAGGGAGTGAGAAGAATTCAGGAGTGGGAGAGGGAGCGGGAGGGAGAGAATCGAGGAGTGGAAGGGAGTGAGAGAATTGAGGAGTGGAAGGGAGTGAGGGAATTGGGGTGGGGTGGGGTGAAGAGAGTGAGAAGGTGTGAGAAGGAGTAGGAAGGTGGGGGCAAGAGGAGGAAGGAGTTGGATGGAGTAGGAAGGAGTTGGAAGGAGTAGGAAGGAGTTGGAAGGAGTAGGAAGGAGTTGGAAGGAGTAGGAAGGAGTGAGGAGTGGGAACGTGCGGTTGTCAGTGGGAGAAGGGGGCGCCAGGAGGTGGGGGGGGATATACTCGGTCTCGTTTTGACTCTGGGACAGCCCCAGTATATCCATCCTGAGTTTGAGCACCACACCGAGCACGGGAAAATCAATATAGGGAAACCAGGAAGCGTCGGGCAGGCAGGGCGTCGACAGTAACCCCATAGCTCCACCCCAGCGCCATCCCACAACTTTCGGATATTTTGGTTACAAATTGGGGATCGCGCAGAAAAAAGGGGATCCCGTATGTACGGAAAACAATATATATGCTGATAATTATATATGACTCATTGACATTTTTTGTCGGTAATATATTTTGGTACATAGGTATATGCGTGTTATGTATATGTGCTCGGATGAATCTAGGGTATTTAGGGTATATGATGCGTTTCTTGCTGGAGTATATGGGAGGCTATTAATATATATCTCGATAATATAATCTGTATTGTAGTATATATGTATATATATTATAGAATATAGGGTTTATGGGAAGTATTGATTCGGAGAATTCGAAATTTCGGATTTTGCGGGTCGGGAGGATTTATTCGGGTCTCGACGGTTGGAATATATTATAATTATGAAAAATATATTTATTCTAATAATTATATCTGATATATTGAATTTTTTTTACTTATTGATTATTGACAACTTCACTTATTATTAATTAACTTCAATCAATTATTTTCGTGAATTCGTGAAAAGATTGAAGTAAATTCATGATGTATTGTCGTTTTATTTATTTTTACTAGGACATGTCAATGACAGATTTTCTCTCGATATATTCACGGTGAAATCTAAAATCGAATCGCCCCTAATCTAGGGTAGCCGATGGAAAAATTGATCATGAACATGATTCGTATCACCAATTCATCAATTCGCTAGTCTTCCCATTTATTAATCCATCAATTAATTACAGTTCACGATTCATTAATTAAATCCCTCATTTGTTTGAATTAATTTGAACGACTGTGATTCAGATATCAGGTTTCATAAATGTATAATCCATTTCCAGCTGTAATGGATTTATCGAAATTCCATGTTTTGGTTTCGAAAAATCAAAACCAACGGACGCTTTAATTTTATGTCATTCAAATTTTTGATAATTAAAATTCTTGGAAACGTTCATATCATCACAAGATCCCTAAATAAATTAATTTCTCATTGTTGATCGAATTGAAAGACGCAAACAGCATTATTCATGATTGAATTACGCAATAGACTAAATGCAAAAAAAAGTGTCACAAGATACAAAATGTCAATGGAGACCCATTCACCTAAAAAGCTTTCGAAAAAAGACAAAATTATCATAATTTTTTTCAATAAATTTTTTTTAATTTCTAGTGCAAAAATAGAAAAATTTTGAAACCATTCAGTTTTATTTAAAATCACTTTTATTCAAAGTTCAATTGTTTTTTTTTCTTGGATTAAAACTGTTCCTAATCGTGTTCATTAAAAAATTTAATTCGAATTGATTGGAGTGTGGGTGAATTCAGCGTTGGTATTTATTAAAAACCGATGGAGGTGACAGAAACAGGGACATGGAATTAAATCTGACATTGAGGGTAATTGAAAAATAAATTGGATTTGACACGGAATATTGATGTTTGAACATGAATATCGCCCTTCAAAAAGTTTCTAGTTTCCTACTGAGGTGTTCATAAAATTCAAGGTCTGTTCTAGTATTCAACAACTCCGATAGTTGAAATTCCATTAAAAAACAAATATTCATTCACCAGAAAATTCCCCATTGTCAACAACAATAACAACACTCAGCCTATGAACAAACCAATTACCGAGTTATTTTGCTAATTGTCCTTAATTATTTCGATTCCTCGCGGGCACCCGATAATCTAATTTGTGGAATTGGATGCGCTGTTAGTGAGATGGCTATGAAAATTTGAATTTCATGTAGAATTCAGGAGAATTCATGAGTTTTCAGAGAGATCTAGATTAAAATTTAACGACATCATTGAATTTTCAATAGCACTTGAATATTGACTAACAAAATCACGAGAAAATCATCACTTTCCCTGAATTTTCATGACTTTTCATAAGTCCAATGGGGAATGAGAAATTTCCTCGAATGATTTTCGATTTTCATAATCGAATTAAAAAAACGAGTGTCTTATCGATTCCCCAATAATTTGCAATTAAAAATACTGAATGTTTATAAAAAATCGGAGACTTCAGCCCCAAAAATCTTAATTGTTGATTGATATAATTACAATCGTAATTGACAATTTATATTTATTTCCACATAACAGTAAAACATAATGAACGGCTGAATGAATGAGTACTGAGGGCATTTTTCCACCG